AAGAGTCCTAACATTTCCGCTTGTTCCAGTCAGCAGTTCGTCCTGCCTCCGGCTGCCTGGGAGGGCCAGCCTAACCTCCACCTCAGTCACCCGAGCCAGCCCTTCCTCTGAGAAATACCGCAGGGCCCCCTCGACATTTCACGTGAGCCACCGCTTGTCCTGATCTATGGGTCACTGGGACAGCTCCAGAATGACCAGAGGAAGGTGTCACAGAGCTTCCCGGATTCGGTCACCTGGTTGCTGTATAGGATGACTTGACTGCGCTAGTCAGGCCTCTGAGCTCATCCAGTGAAAGCCTGCTGCGCAGGGGCAGCCAGGCTGAGCCAGGAACGGAGTGCTCATCTCCTCAACTGGGCTTCCAGCCCCGCCGGGTGGGAACAGAGGCTAAAGAAGTGATCCGCACACAGAGAAGAAGGGTCCAGAGTCTTGGAAATTGTTGCCTCAGTTTCATGTTTTATTCACCTGAATAGCTAAGGGAACCTTCGCCTATGTTATTCAGGGTTTTGGTTCTTCAAATTCCAACCAGAAGCTAAATACAATTGGAAACCCGTGAGCACTAGTTTCACCCCCAGCATTTTTATCGTTTCCTTCTTCTTCTTTCTTTTATTTGGGGAGAGAGGCTGCTGGGGATTGGGCCCAGGGCCCCAGGAACGCTCAGAACATTCTCTACCCCCAGCCCCTGCTTTTCAGCAGTTGCCTTTCGTGCCCAGCTTCTTTCTCTTTTACTTCTTACTCTTCTCTCTTTCTTTTGTAAACCTTTATCTTACTTTGTGAAAGCTTTTTTAATCGAAATTTTTTCTTATATATGTTTGTGATAGATAAAGAATAAACACGTTCATCATGGAGAAGTGTTATATAAACGTATCACATCTTAATCCTTTCTATTTTCCCTCCCTGCCCTTGTGTCTCCTCTATTCCCAGGCCCCCTTCCTATCGCTGCTAGGTCTGTCATCCTATATTTCACCATCCATCTTTTATTTCTAAAATATTTATACCTGAGTATCTCATATAAGAGAAATCATGCAATATTTAAGCTTCTGTGTCTGATTTATTTCGTTTAGCATTATGGTCTCGAGATAAGATAATTTTCCTATGAATGACTCATATTTATCCTTCTTTATGGGTGAGTGGTACTCCATTGTGTGTATAGACCACATTTTCTTTATCCATTCACCTGCTGCTGGGCATATGGGGTGCTTCCACCATTTAGCTACTGTGAGTTGTGCGGCTATAAGCACAGTTATCCATGTGTTATTGTAATGTGATGTCTTTAGCCCTTTCAGGAAGATACCTAAAAAGGTGCAGCTAGATCAAATGGAATGCATACTTGTAGTTTTCTGAGGAGTCTCACACCGATTTCCACAGTGCTTGCACTAGTTTATATTCCCACCAGCAGCATAAAAGGGTTCCTTTGGCCCACAACTTTCCCAGCATTTTTTTTTTTGAGTTTGTCTTGATAGCCATTCTTTCTGGAGTAAGATAAATCCTCAGTGGTGTTTTGATTTTCATTTCTCTAATAGCCAATGATGCCAAGCACTTTTTAATGTACTTCTTTTGAGAAGTATCTACTCATTTCAGTTGCCTATGTTTTGATTGGGTCTTTTATTTTGGGGTCTAATTTGTTTGAGTTCTTTATGTATTCTAGATATTAGTCCTCTGTCTGAGAAGTAACTAGCAGAATTTTTTTATTCTATAGGTTGTCTCTTTACTCTGTTTGTTTCCTTTGATTTGCAGAAGCATTTTAATTTAATACATTCCAATTTGTTGATTTTTAGTGTTATCTCTTGTGCAATTGGGATTCTGTCCAGAAAGTCCTTGCCTATGCCTATGGCTTCAATAGTATCTCCAATATTTTCTTCCAGTGGAGTCAGTGCTTCTGTTTTTATATGTAAACCCTTGATCTATTCTGATTTGACATATAGCACAGGATGAAAGATAGGATTCTAGATTCATTTTTCTGCAACCGATAACTGATTTTCCCTCAACCATTTGTTAAAGAGGCCATCTTTTCCCCAGCATATGTTTTGGTCCCTTTGTCAAAGATCAGACAGCTGAAGGTATGTGAGGTTGGCTGTACATCTTCAGTTCTGTTCCCTCGATCAACATGTCTTATTTTTTGTGCCAGTACTCATGCTGTTTTTAATCCCTGTAGCTTTATAATATTGTTTGAAATCTGGGACTCTGATGCTTCTTCCTTTGCTTTCTTTGCCTAGGGTTGTTTTTGCTGTTCTGGGTCTCTTCTGATTCTATATAAATTTTAAGATTTTTTTTTCTAGTACTATGAAGGATGATGTTGGTAGTTTGATTGGCATTGCATTAAATGTGTGTATCAATCACTGGTAAAATTGCTATTTTGACAATATTGTTTCTGCCTGTCCAAGAAGAAAGGTATCACTCCATTTTCTGATGTACTCCCAGTTACTTTTTTTTTTTCAGAATACTTTTGTTATAAAGGTCTTTCCTTCTCTTGGTTAGATTAGTTCCTAGGTATTAAACTTATTTTTGAAGCTATATAAACAGGGTTGTTTTCTTGATTTCTTTCTCAATGGCTTCATTGTTGGTACATAGGAATGCTATTGATTTTGCATCCTCTCACTTTGCTGAATTTGTCTATTAATTCTAGGAGTCTCTTTTTTTTTTGGTACCGGGGATCAAACTCAGGACCTTGTGCTTGCAAGGCTGGAGATGGCACCACTGAGCTAAATCCTGGCAATTCTAAGAGTCTTTTGGGGGAGAGTTTTGGGTCTTCTATATAAAGGAATAAGGATAGTCTGACTGCTTCCTTTTTCTATACCTATCTGTTTTATTTCTTTTCCTTGCCTGATTGCTCTGCCTAAAATTTGAATAATATATTGAACAGGAGTGGTAAGAATAGATCTTGTCTTGCTCCTGATTGAAATTTACCTTTAAGATCCTCTTTGCCAGATTATTTTGATTGCTTTTGGTTGTATCTGCATTAAACATGCCCTAACAAGTTAGTGTGATATTAATAGAGTTGTTGCACTCATTACAGAGCTATGTCTTCTTACTTTGCATATTATCACAAAGACTTCGAGGAGGATATTTTAAGGATGCCTTGCCTGAATTATGTTATCTAAGATATAGCTAGTCCATTCATGCGGCAAATGAAAATTATGTTTATACATGATTAGAACCAGAAGACATTTCAAAAATCATCAAATCCAATCTTTTAATGACACAGATGAGAAAACTGCAGCCCAGAGAGTTCAAGCGACTTACTTTAAGTCTAATATTCACTGTGGTTTGAGGCCAAATATATGAGACAGATAAAACTACAGAAGTATGGAAAGTTGTGTGCATAGTATAATTTTTTTGAGCAACCAGTTTTGGTTTCTGGATATTAACCACCTGAACGAAGTCCAGTGAATATGTCAATCACACAACATAAACTACTGTGAATCCTAAGAGTTTCATTTCCTCTGTGCTTGGCCTGGATACTAAACTGTCAGCTAAAGATTTCCACCAGAGATAAAAGTGTATGATTCTCTTGTATTCAGGATTCTGGAGAAATCTAGTCATGGTTCCAAAACATAGAACATGGGTTACTGCAGAGAATAGCAATTTTTTGTGGAATGCAGAGTAGTAACCAGACCCTTTGAAGGAGAGATAAAAGAGAAATTGGGTAGGGCTCCTGAATAGGGAATTTTAAATTTATTATGGGAAGTAGGGTTTTCGAAGATGGAGATCTGGAGTCGGATGGATATAAGTCTGTTTCAGAAGGAGCACATCCAGGAGCAGGGGAGCTCCCAGTCTTTTCTGAAAGGAGCTCAATGGATTGCCCTGTGAGTCTGTCAATCCAGAGGCTGTGGGATGCTGGGCAAGCATCAGATGCCTGGTATGGGTCTGCACTGAGCGACACTTTTGTCCCTAAAATGTCTCTCTAACTGCAAAAGGAAAGTCCAGGCTCACTGAAAAGGAGCACAGCTCAGGTCCGAACAGGAACCTAATGAAACAGGACAGCCTCATAAATCCCACAGGCTCCTGGGCTGAGGCAGCTCTGGTTCACATGTTATCGCAAAGACTGCCTGCAAAGCTATTTCCTGCATTGCATTTACAAGGAGCAAAGTAATGAGGAGAATTAAAATACAACAAAAGGAACACAGGCTGAAAAGGTCGATTTCATTAGGTCCAATTTAGAAATGTATATTTTGACACAGAGGCTTGCCTTTCCTGCCGTAGATTTCGAGGCTGTATTTTTATGTCTTCTCTCATTTCTTATAATAAGTACTCAGTCTCACAGGGAACTTTTTATTGTGATGCAATTTTAACCTTGTAGGAAAGTTGCAAGAATGAATTCCCGAACTCTTTTTACCCAGATGCACTGTATACTTATATTGTGCTTCCATTGCTTCACCATGCTCTCTCTCTGTCCGTCTCAACCTCTCTCTCTCTCTCTCTCTCTCTCTCTCATTCTCTCATACCAGGGATCGAACTCGGGTCCTTGTGCTTGTGAGGCAGGCAGTGGCCACTGAGCTAAATCCCTGGCCCCACCATGCTCTCTCTTGCGCTTGCTCTCTCTCTTATTGTCTGAATCTCTTCAGAACAGTTTATAGACACTTACTCTTAAAACCTTCAGTGTATTATTCCTGTGCAATTTTTTTTGACAAGCTACCCAGGCTGGCCTTCGACTCTCCATCTTCCTGCCTCAGCTTCCTGAGTAGTTAGGATTACAGGTATGTGCCACCATATCCAGCCACTGTATAATTTATAATAACAAAGATATTCCCTTCTAAAACCACAAAATTTAATGTTGAGAAAATGAGAAAGAAAACTAATATTGATACAATACAATAAAAATCATGCTTAAGGATTAATCTATTTTTAATATGGAAAATATTGTACTCACCACACTTAATGTTAAATATAGCTTCCACTGTGTGCCACAGTTTTGGGGATAAAGTATGTGCATTGTGTTTTAGAAATCAGTGCTGTTTTATAGTGGAATAAATGAGACCAAGTAAACAAGCCTGTTTTGTTACCTTTTGTTGCATCAATTGCTGTATAGTTCATTGAAAAGCCTTCATAAGCGAGGTCAGAATCAGCCACAAATGTCAGCGTTATTGAGTTGGTGCTGCTGGTAAGAGAGGGCGGAATGGATTTTCCACAGTATCTGTACCAAAACAAGAAAGAACAGATACATGGGTTTTCAAACTTTTAGTATATTTGAAATGAAGTAACAGAAATTTAGACACGTAAATATGGTAATGGGTTTTGTTATCTACCTCCCATCAATCTTAAAAAATATATATAATTAAGGCAAAAAATATTTACAAACGTACTCAACAAGATCATCCTGCTCATGATGACCTTGCTGAAATGGTTTTGTCTGTGTCTGCCTCTGGGACTTCACATGCATGAGGACTGTAACTATAAGCTACATTACGCTGCCAGATAGCATATTAATAAACTTGTTCACAGAAATGTAACAAACATAAGCAGCAAAGAGAAACTTTGCCATATCTTACACTCATAAAAGCCAGGAGTGATGGTGCACACCTATAACCTCAGCACTGTGGGAGGCTGGGGCAGGAGGGTTGCAAACTCAAGTCCAGCCTGAGTAATTTAGTGATTTAGAGAGACCATGTCTCAAATATTTTTTTTAAAGGCTGAAGATAAAATACAGTGCAAAGGCCCTGAGTTCAATCTGCAATATACCACAAAAAATTTTTAAAACAAATACACTTACAGAACAAAGGGTCAGCTCTATTACTTAAAGGGATTGTGACCATGGGCAGATTATGCAATCTCAGTGCCTCATTTTGTCCATCTCTAAAATGGAGAGGTTGATAATACCTCTGTCATAGAGTTGTTCTGGAAAAGTGGATCACCTAAAATGCTGTATGTCAAACACTTAGAACAGTCCTTGGAAATGTAATTCCTGTATAGGTGAAATTTATTGTCTTTAAACAGAAGTCCTATGGCAACTGAGAGCCTGATTACTGAGCCATATCACATTTTAGCTTCACAAAAGTAATTTGCTCAGAAATTTTACTGTATGAATGACAAAAATAAGGATGTAATAGAAAACATTATGGTATGAGATTCTACCTACAGAAAAACCTTTTATGAAGGAAAGAAGAGAAAAAAAGTCAAAATAAACTTGATAAAATTAAGCAAATGGAATGACAGAGAAAAGTAATATGGAAATCAAAATAAGAAGAAATGCTGAATATGAGAAATGGGTGCCTTAACTGTTGCTGGAGAAAAAGAAAGAAAATTTTGTGTAGAGCCCCATTTGGGGCTGAAGAAAAGATCTGACAGCTTAATCAAAATACAGGCAGATGAACTAAACAAATTCTTGCATGTCTATAGCTGTGTCTACTACATAGAGCAAGATCATTACGGTTTATGATATTCAATAAAAATTATGTATTTTGCAGGGGTTACATACCTCTCCAAGAGCCTGGGGATGTAGCTCAGTGGTGGTGTGCCTGCCTGGCAAGCACAAGGTCCTGAGTTTAATCCCCAGCACGGGAAAACAAAACAACAAAAGACAACACAACACAGCACAACACATACCTCTCCAAGAAAAAATTTTTAAATGGAAGATTAAGATAAGTGAGAAGAAAAAGATGAAGAGGGAGAGTAAAACCAGGAGAAAAAATTAATTTAAGAAAATAATAAAAATCTTTAAAAAGTTAATAAAAGACTATAAAATTGTAAAAAATTAAAAAGCAGTCAGGACAATTATGTTTCCAACAAAGATATAATAGTAGGGTCTAGATTTAACTTTGTATCTGAAAAAACTAAAATCCTGGACAAAATATATTTTTAAAAATGACTTTCATGACATTGGACATGGAGTAATGAAGGACACCAGACCTTCAGGGAGAGGAAACAAATGAGTCCCAGAGTAACACTAGCATTAAGTAACTTAACTGCAATCCAGGACAAAGCCCAAGAATATTCATCGGAATATCATTATGTCTAGTGCCAAAAACATAAAATTGAAAATGCCTAATATCCTATCAATATTGCCAAGCATACAAAGAAATAAGAAGTGTAATTCCTAGCAACAGGGAAAATGAATCAGTGAAAACCCAGTAAGAAATCATTCATGATTGAATCAGTAGATCAGGACATGAAAATATTTATCACTTTCCTATAGATTTAAAAATTTAGAGGAAAAATTAATGTATATAGATATGGAATATCTATTCACATGCTGCCTGATGCTGGGGAAACTGAATATATATATGCGAAAGAATGAAATTAGACCCTTATCTCTCACTGTGCAAAAGAATCAACTGAAAATTGGTAAAGACTTAAATAGAAAACCTGAAACCGAAACTACTAGAAGATCTGGGCAAGGATTTTTGTGGATAAGACCTCAAAAGCACAGGCAACAAAACCAAAAATAGACAAATGGGATTATCTAAACCCATATGTCTTCTGCATAGCAAATGAAACAGTCGAGAGAGTGGAGAGACAACGTATGGGGCTGGGCACAAGATTTGCAAATTACACGCGTGACAATCAGTTTGTAGCCAAGATCTATAAAGAATTCAGACAACTCAACAACAAAAAAAGCAAGTAATCTGATTTTTTAAAAATGGGCAAAAGACCTGAATAGACATGAAAAGAAGAAATGGCCAACAATCATATGAAAAACGAGTCAATGTCACTTATCATCAACAACACATAAATCACAACCACAAGGAGACTTTGCTTCAGACCTGTTAAAATGGCTATTATAAAAACAAGGTAAGTGTTGCTGCGGATGTGAAGAGAGAACCCACGTACGCTGCCAATGGGAAGATAAATTACCACAACCATTATGAAAAACGATATAGAGGTTCCTCAAAAATTAAACACAGAACTATCATAAGATCCAGCAATCCCCAAACTGAGTATATATGTGAAGGACATGAAATCATCATGCTGGAGAGATATCTACCCTGTCATGCTCACTGAAACATTATATACAATAGCCAGGATATGGTTAAAGAAAATGTGGCATAAATATATACTATTCAGCCATGAGACTGAAGTCCTGTCATTTGCATCAATGTGGAAAAATTTGGAGGACATTGTATTAAATGAAATAAGCTAGAATATAAAACGCAGATGTAATATGTAGAATGTAAACATAAGATTAATATCACGTAAGTAGACAATATAATAGGTCAGTACTCAGCAGAGGTCAGAGTGTTTGTGGGAGAAGTAAAGATAAGCAGACTTTGATTAAAGGACACATAATTTCAGTTGGAGCTGGGCATGGTGGCAACACCTGTCATGCCAGCACTTAGAAGGCTGAGGCAGGAGGATTGCCATAAGTTTGAGGCCAGCCTGGGCTACCTAGTGAGTTCAAGCTCAGACTAAACTACACAATAAGACCTTATCTAAAAAACCCAAAAAAAATTCAGTTGGAAAAGAGAAATAAATCTCTAGAAGTCTGCAGTACAGTAAGATGACTCTACTTAATGATGGTATGTTATATCTTTGAAAACATGTAGAGTGGATGTTTTATGCTGTTACCTCTACACATACATAGTATGTGAGGTAATGCATTTGCTAATTAGCTAGACTGAACTATTCCACAATGCACATACACTTAAAAATATGATATGCAAGATAAATGTATATTGCCAATTTTTAAACAAAGAAGAGAAACTAGATAGGAAATAATGGTAAGAGTGGTTTTGTCCTTCTCTACAGAAAAGTCTATAAACAACCAATAAGCCACCAAATTCAGCATAAAAACCAAAACAAAATAACCTCACCTCCCAAGATAAGTCCTAGAGCCAGTATCATGAACTTCCACGTAGTCACTTGTGCAATTGTAATGAAACTCCAGGTGAAATTCATCAAACACCAACCGAATCAGCTGACCAGGCTGGACTAATATATTCCAGGTACAGTTAACGCCACTGGGGTAAATGCTTGGATGGCCAGGACTTTTAATGATTCCAGATGATGCAGTAAGAGTTTTTCCACATACTGTTGAAATAAAAATAATGATAATTATCAAATCAGGTAACCAACAAGCTACCTGGATTTCAAAATAAAGTATGTCAATTATTTCTCCTTAACCTCAAAAGGAAAAGTATCATTTTTTATCTGCCACTTAAGTATAACTTAGTTTTTCTTTTCCTAATAGGTACAAGATAACCATTGATATGTGGTGATTGAAATATACTCTTTGTCTTTAAGTGCTCCTTACATTTTTTCATGATGTAGATGAATTTTACATAATTTATTTCTATTGTTCACTTATTCTGCTATGAGCCTACATGAAGGAGAAAGAGATCATCTCTTACCTAAATCCTGGGTACTGAACACAGCCACAAAACCACGATTTTCCATAGAAGGACTCTTCACGAATGTGACATAAAGAACATTGTAAACAGATGTTATAACTGAAGGCATCTCTGTACCACAATACTTTACATTTTCAGGAGAACCCAAAACAGAACTGCTACCAATCTAAAGTAAAACAGATATATCAAGTTTATTTTGTTAGACATTTATCTTGGAAAGCTACTTTGAGAATAAATATGCCTGAAATATGTATATTAATAGAGTAAAAATCAACTTGAGAACACAATCACTTTGAGAATATTGTAGCTGCCTCATGAGAAAGAAATCCATGCCCATTACTAGTCATTTTCTATTCTCCTGAAATAAAAGCCACAGCCAACCAAGAATCTACTCTCTGTCCCTATACATTATCTATTCTGGTTATTTTAAACAAACAGAATCATACAACATGTGGTCTTTTGTGACTAGCTTCTTTCACGTAGTATGTTTTTAAGGTTCAGCCATGTTGAAGCATGTATCAATACATCATTCCTTCTTAATGCCATACAGTATTCCATTATATGGATATATTATATTTTACTTATTCATTCATCAGTCAATGGGCATTTGTTTCCATTTTTAAATCATGAATGATATTATGGTTTAGATGTAGAATGTAGAAATTGAGTGAAAATTCTCATGTGCTGAGCAAGGGCCTTTGGAAGGTGACAGGATCATGGCGACTCTCTGTTCATCACTGGATAATCCATAGCTGGGTGTGCTCTTTGGAGGTGAGGTGTGACCTGGAAGGACAGAGCTCCCTCCCTGGCACCCCCCTTGGCTCACTGCTTCCTGACATCCTGACTGTGGTGTGAGCTGCTTTCCTCTGCCATGCTCTCTCACTATGCCATTTCTGCTTTGAAGCCTGCCAATCATTGACTAAACCCACTGAAACTGTGAGCCAAAACAAACCTCTTCTTTACATTGCAAAGGTTGGGTATTGTGTCTCAGCAATGAGAGAGTAATTAAGACAAATAATTATTTTGTTTGCTAGTTGCATATTCCATCATGAATAATGAATTCTTTCAGTGTTGCTTATAGTCTGTGGAATATGTTTTACATTTCTTTATAAGGTATAGTCCTTTAAGCTTATTGTTTTGATGCTACTGTAAATTAAAGTTTCCTTGAACTTTCATTTTCAAATTATTCATTACTAGTATATTAAAAAAGAAGTGATTTTCATATTTTGATCTTATAACCTTCAACCTGCTGAATTTATTAGTTCAAATAGTTCTTTTAATGTGTGTGGATTCCTTGTGAAGTTCTACATATGAGCTCATGCAACCTGTGAATAAAGATAGTTTCATTTCTTTCTTTTCATTCAAGATGCATTTTATTTCTTGTCTTTATTTAATTACTGTAGCAAGAATTTCCAGTGCAATGTTGAACTGAAGTGATAGGAACAGAAATCTTTGTCTTTTTTACTGATCATTAGGGCAAATAATTCAGTATTTCATCATTAAATATTTTATATGTGGGAGTTTTTAAAATGCCCTTTTAAGTTAAGGAAATTACCCTTGTCTCTATTTTGTGAAGTGTTTTTATAATGAAAAAATGTTGGATTTTGTCAAATGTTTTTTCTGTATCTATTAAGGTGGTAATATTGTTTTTACTTTTATTTTATTGATACCATGTGTTATATTTTTGGGAAATTATAACAACTTAGACTTCCTGGAATGAACCCTACACGTTCATGGTATTCAATCCTACCTATATGCTGGTTTCAGTTAGCTAGGAGTTTAAGAATATTTTTGTCTATATTCATAAGATATATTGGGCTATACAAATGATTCTCTCTCACATAACATAACATAGTGTTTTTAGCAATATACATCCAAATATAAATACTGGAAGGTTTTTTACTCTTACCTCAACATAATCTGTGTCACAGTGGTTGGAACTTCCAATTTCAAAGCCAGTAAAGTTGAGAAGAACTACTTGGCCTTGAGGTTGGTGGATGGTCCACCTACAGGTTCTTTCTCCAGGATATACATTAGGATAAAATGGTGAATGAATGATTCCTTCTCCAGTTAATTCACCTCCACAAACTAAAACATAAAAATGTCCACAAATAAATAATTCTTGCTCTTAATTTATTGCAAAGTCTAATTCTGCCTAAGGAAATTACAGAATGTGATGTTTTATGGGAAGATATTCCTTACCCCTTAAGAATATAACATTATTAAATTATCTCAAAAAATCAAAATGCCACAATAAAGTAAATTAGACATTTAAAAAGTCAGCAGAAGTTTCCTTACCAACTTGATAAAAAGCTCTGAAGCTAGCCTTTTGAACAGAGGTGTCTATTTTAAACCTGATCCAGATGTTATTAGTAATGGATCTGATCGGAGAGACGGTTTCATTGCCACAGACTTTTCCAAGTAAAGTTTCATGATTTCGAACCTAAACAGAAAAATAAGACAGATCTGTAATTTTAATCAATAGAACTACACTGGTAATGAAAGATCATTTGGAGATGAGATAATGGCAGATTCAAAATGGACAATAATCTAGTTTGGGTAATATTTAGATTTTAAACCAGTCAGTGTATCATTGTTTACCATAATTCACTAGTGCTTAATATTGATAAAATCTAAAGCAAATTAAATCCCCCTCAAACAGCCATTTTAAAGACATCTTCCTAATAACTTCCACAATGTCAAAGAAGAAATAAACCTGCAATTTTGGACTGCTTTGCAAAGAGCAAAAGAAAAGAACACTGCATATCGGCATTCCCTACCGAGGTCCCGAGTCCCACAGAAGATGCCAAATCAGCCTGCTGCAGACAGGCAGGTCTGTGCACGCCCTACCGAGGTCCCGAGTGGCACAGAACAGGACGAATCAGCCCGCTGCAGACAGGCAGATCTGTGCACACCCTACTGAGGTCCTGAGTCACGTGAAAGACGCCCAATCACCCTGCTGCAGACAGGCAGCCACCTGGTTCCACATTACAAAGACGCAGAGGACACCAGACCACCAGACCAAGGTACTGAGTCTGGCTGCTCCCAGCCCAGAGGTAGGGGCATCTGAGCCACCGTCCCACTGCTCCTGGTCCAGAGGAAGGGGTTTCCCAGTCACTATCCCTCCCGCTGCTCCCAGCCCAGAGGAAAGGGCTTTTGAGCCACCTTCTGTCCCGCTGGTCCTGGCCCAGAGGAAGGGGCTTCCAGGCCAACATACCTCCCACTGCTCCCGGCCCAGAGGTAGGGGCTTCTGAACCACCATCCCACTGCTCCTGGTCCAGAGGAAGGGGCTTCCCAGCTATCATCCCTACCACTGCTCCCAGCACCTGTCCCACCTCTCCCAGCTCAGAGGAGGTACTCCGTGCAGGCGCCAACAGCTCACATACCCCCCAGTTGAAATGAGAAAACACGTAAATAAGTCTCAAAACCAGACTTCCAGATCACCTACAGCAACCCCAAAGGGAAATGAGATGGAACACTCTGATACTCAA